TGCAAAAGGCTTATGAGATGCTCAAAAAAAAAAAAAAAAAAAAAAAGCTTGCTAGTCACACTGGCCAAGAGGTCGGAGTTTAAATTCTTCCTGGGTAATGTAAAAAGCATGTACATGTGAATAATTTAGAGTTGACTGTGCCAGCATTTTCTTGCCTGTATTTTAAACACAAAGCTCCACATGATGGCAACCACAATGGAGCAGAGAACATTCCAGAAGGGACTGTGACATCTGCACAGACATCTGCACGGACGCACAGACAGCCTTCTCCTAGTGGCAGCTGATTGCCTCTGTATTCCTTTTACATTCGGGTCAGTTGTAGGAAGAGAAATAAAATGACTTGCTCAGGTGACCTGTGGGCACAGCCAGGATGGAATCCCCCAATCCTGCCTCAACTTCAGAAGCTAAGAAGTAATTCTGTTCTGTGAATTGGGTTAATTCTGTCAATGGGAAAGACTGACCCCAACACACAAATTCTTTCTAAGGAAGCTCCGAACGGGGTGAAAATCCCACCATCACCTATTCAACAGACCCAGAAGTTTCCTCCTGGGCAGCCTCTTAAATCACACAGCAGAAAAGACCCAGAACTTAAGGGCAGTCACCAAGCAAGCTTTGTCACTGAGGCCAGTTTTGATTTTACCTGGGGACTGCAGGAGGACCCAGAAGGAATTAGTGAATGATCTGTGTCATGACACCCTAGGTAATAGTGCCCGGAATCAGCCTCCTTCCTATGCTTAGTGCCAATGCTGCTGGGGTTGGGAGCTGCCCCAGGCCCTGGAAAGCCCCACAAGAAGCCCCACAACACTCCCCATCCATATGTAGCTCACAACCAGCTCCATGTACTCCTCTGTGCATGGGAAACAGGATTTCACCAACAGCTTGACCCAGAGGGAATAAAGCAGATTCTCTTTGTATATTTGATACTTTGATATTTTGTATTTGATACTTTGTATTTGACCATCTATTTGTTTCATGATTACCTTTTAAAAATAATTGAACATCTCAGGTTCAAAAGCAGTGAGAAAAGCACAGCGAACCCCCTCCCAGGCCCAGCATGCAGCCCCAGTTACCCCCAGCTGGCTAAGCTTGTGCAGTGTCTACAGAGAGGGTTTATTAATCATTTTGTAAATAATCATCATGCCATTACTGTTACGGACTGAATTATGTCCCCCCAAAATTCATATGTAGAAGCCCTAACCTTCCATGTGACTATATTGGGAGATAGGGCCTTTAAGGGGGTAATTAAGTTCACTGAGGTCATAAGGGTGGGCCCTGATCCTATAGGACTAGTGTCCTTGTAAGAAGAGGAGACACCAGAGCTCGCTCTCTCACTCTCTCTGCACATGGAGGAAGGGCCACGTGAGGACACAGGGAGAAGCTGGCCATCTGCAAGGCCAGAAGAGAGGCCTCGCCAGGAACCAGCCCTGTAGGCTGCTTGGTCGTGGGCTTCCACCCTCCAAAACTGCGAGAAAACAATTGGCTGTTGTTTAAGCTGCCCAGTCTATACAATTTGTTACGGCAGCCTGAGCAAACTAAGATAATTACCATGTCTAAAAGAGTCAACATCAATTCACTGATGTCCAAAATTATAACTGTTAAAGGGAGCTGACCAGATCTCATTGAATGGATAGACCCTAAGAGTAATTTTAGACATACCATGAAACTAATGTATGTGTCCTTTTCTATGCTGCGATCCAATAGTTGATGCAACTTTTCAAACAGGTTTCTGCTTTTTGCATGAATAAAATCAATAGCTCAAAAATCTATAGGCTTAACTGACAGCCTTCCCCTTCCCATAGAAACACTCTAATTAAATGAGAGATTTTCATCATCTCGAGTTTCTTTTCTTGCTCCTGCCTGTATGTGTCACTCTCAGAGAGGTGGTAACTGGATTGAGAACAGGAGGTGGGGGGAGGGGTCTACAGAACATCTTGATGGTTTCCAAAGAGGATGTCACCTGGGGAATAACAGAAAAGTGGTTCTATCACCTAAACCTTTATCACTGAGCAGAAAAAAGAAGAAAACCAAAAGAAACTGATGACTATTTTCCATCAAAGACATTCTTTCACATGGGAACCTCTGGTTCCTAGATATCTGTCCCTTGAAAGTTGAGGTAGGAAAATCCACTGTTGGAAAGGCCCACTGAGGCACATACCTGTGGGTGTCCGTGCTGTGAACTCAGGGTCAAAGTGGAAGGTGTCTTCGGGCCTGCCCACTGCTGGCTTGAAGGGTGGCTTGATTTCCTTCCGGTACAGCTTCTACAAGGAAAGCAAGACAGGGCATTGAGGAACCACAGACATGACAGAACACCAGGAATACCAGAAGCCTGCTGCAGGGAGGGAAAGACATTCTTATTACATGCCACTCGAGCCTTCGTCTTACTGTAACCAGTGGCTTCTCAGTTACAATTTATTCCTGTTTAAATTGCTCCTTCTTTCATAAGTAACTGCTTACTCTGTCTCTTCCTATCTGCCTTTTGAGATAGTGCTTCTGGTGCAGAAGTCATGGGTTGTTTGCCTAGGATGTTCTGAAGGAGCATTGGAGTTAGCCTGCCCAGCACAAACCAGCCTAACTGGTTGAGCCTGCACACCTCTCTACTGAGCCTGCATGAATGTCCAGCAGGTGATCTTCGGACATCAGAGGGCCAAAAACCCCACCTCCAGATCATGCTAAAGCTGCCATTTGTTGAACATGTGACCTGTGACAAGGCATTCAGCTTGCACCTGCACAGATTGCTCAAGAACTTCCTCAAACCCTTTAACCAATCAGTCCCCCATGCCTTGTGTCACCCCTAACCACTTTTCCATAAATATCCCTTCTTTCTTGCTGTTGAAAAGGTGAATTTGAGATTTATTTCTCCCATCTTCTTGCTTGGCTGCCTTGCAAATAAACTTTTTTTTTTTTGCTGTAAAGACCATGTCAGTATGTGGCTTGCTGTGCATTAGGCAATGGGCCTTTTTCAGTCACATTACAAAGCATCTCTAAATATTCCAAAATATGTAAAAAACATAACATACAGTTAATACATTAGATTTCATATAGTATAATATATCATAGTGCATATGTAATATATATATTA